TTTTTTAATTTGTGTAAAGAAATAAATAGTATAAAAGTTTTATCACTCTAATATTAAATTATAACCATTATTTTAAAGAAATAATGAACTCCTGTTAGCAATAAAAAATCTTTTGAGTGTGATTATTGTCTTTTTAGATCTGCCTGTACTAACTTAAGTTAGAATTGCAACATTGAACAAATAATTTTTAGCTATATTTACTTTGTTTGGCTTATGATTTCTATTGCTTAATAATATATTAATGGTATATTTTCAAAGGAGTTATGATTTGAACATTAAGATAGAAGTAATTACTATTAATTCTGTATTTCTGAAATTACGGTGACTGTTTTCCTTCTCTTCTGTTCATTTTTATCTACATATGCAATCTTAATATTCTAAAACACTTCAACAAATTATTAGTAATTTGTAATTGTAATGGCAATTAAGATTCAGTTGGCTGCTTGGTTAAGGTACTGTTTAATTGTGACAGGAGAATTCAGGTTAAAATCCACTCTGAAACAGTGAGAATTCAATATCATTCTCTATGCTGCTTGACTAAATTATAAAGCATGTCTGTAATGAGTGTAATTGTCAGTAGTTCATGTAGACAAATTGGTTATGGTCGTATTTGCAACCAAAGGGTCGAGATTTAGAAGCCGACCGATTACCGTTTGCTTTACTTTTAGTACATGAAGCTTATCAGTTTGCTTCCGACTCGCGATTCTCGGTTGCAAATAAGGACGTTAATCTGTCGATTAATATTACGTACATTTGCATTTATCTTTTATTGATCGAGCAATAAATTTAGAATAATTTCGTGTTCAATATAACAGAATGGATTATAAAAATTATAGCTTTGGAAGTAGTAGTTTTTCATCTTGCTTGTAGCCGTAACATTATCTTCCAATAGATAACGTGCATGTATCAATAGAAGTATCTGTCGCTTATTGAAGCTTGCTGTAGTTACTGTAGTACTATCGCTTACTGTAGTTACCACTTACAATGCTACCCCATACACTGTGTTAATAAGTCCTAGTAAGATTAGATAAGATGCCGCTATAAATATTTTATCAGCTTTGTTTGATGTTATATTTCACAGATTATCAATGATATAATAAAATTTATTTTTTTCAATTTTGTTTCAGATGTACAGTACAAGCTTTCTTAATGTTTGAAAAAAGTTATATAGATTATAAATATATTTATAAAATGGTCATAAAATTCACATTCTAATGAGATCTTAAAATCTAAAAAATTTGGAGCTTTTTCTTCATATCAGTATATTATTAAAGAATTAGGGAAAAGGGAAACGTAGTGGCGATATTAAGTGAAAAAAGTGAATGATTTCAGATTAAAATAAAATATTTACTAATTGGAAGAATTAAAATTGAGAAAAGTTTGAATTATCTCAACTTTTTTTATCATTCAAATGGAACAAACGTACCCAACTCGTCAGATATTTAAATGTTCTTTTAATTAAATATGTTATTCGGTCAAATAAAGATTAAATTTATGATTCCAAATATTTCTGGTTAAAAAATAAATAAATANCGAAAATAAGGCAAAATATACTTTAAATAATAAACTTGAGTATTATATTAACATAATTCTTCTCACCTTCATCCCTCGCTCCGATTGGGTTTACTGTTAGATCTATAAATTAAATATTAATTATGCAGATTGATTCCCTTCACAGTTAGATGATAGAAGCGTAATACTAGGATTTATTCGATGGAATGATTATTTATAATAATAATGCAATACTACACCACAATGGGGGGAAGAAACAATTAAGATTTTATACATAAATTACTCGGAAGAATCCTAAGATTTTGTGTCTGCACGATGATATATTTTTTCTTTCGCTTCCTTATACTTTCCTTTATATTAAATGACGTTTTTGGCTCTTTGTCGTATATATACATTGATTATAATTAATTTGGAAATGATATGTTAGGAACTGCAAAAGGTGTAGATCAAAACGCAGATCAGATTGTAAAAAATGATCATCCTATGTGATAGTGACGCGAGACGTCCTTTACTCGTTTGACACGAGGCGTGTAAACCTTGAAAGAAAAATGATTATTAAATTAGTAACACGTTCCATTTAAATTCCGGCTTGTTTATTTTGTAGTATAAGTTTAAATATAGTAATATAAATACATTTATTTTATTTATTCCCTACTATCTTTTAAGTAGCTATTACTTAATGTTTCCATACCTGTTTCTTTTAATTCTTTATTAGAATTTATAATCATTTTATTTTATTTATATCATTTTAAACTAGCATTTACAATACTTATAGTTTTTAATAACCTTCTCCTTCATTTTACCTCTTTTTTTTTTTTTAGTAGAATTTACATTATCAATTTAAACCCTATACTAATTTTATGCCAAAATTTATAACTTTTCTCTTCTCCTGAACCAAAATTTACAAATCTTTTCCTTCATTTTTTATCAGAATTAATAGAATTAATTGCTTACTGTGACCTAATAACAAGTGGGTGAATTATATATTAAAGATTAAGCAAAATAGGAAAACATTGCTATGACTATTACCTAAAATATTATTCTATTCAGATATAAAATAAACATTAATTTAAATTAATATTTAAAATGAACTTGAAAATATCAATAGATGTATATAAACAGCTGATAAAACAACATTTCATTCTAGAATCTATATTTTTCTGATATGCATCATTCAATGCTTTAAAAGACCTTGCTCCTTCATCATTATTAAAATGAAGGAATTATGCAATTAAAATTTGGAATTTTAATTAAATTACATTGGCTTGATTTAATTAGAATTATTAATAAGAATCATCTGTTTAATTATCATTAACAGAAACATCAACTAGATTAGAGCAAGATCAAAAAAAATTTAATCGATTAATTGTAATNAAAATAAATATTAAAATAAAAATGTCGATCGTTTCCATTTTTTCAAAATTTTTATTAAAATCGGAAGAAAAAAAAGTAAATTTTAAGTAAAAAGAAAGGGTTTAAGAAGACTTTAAAAAATTTTTTAGAGACGTCATCGAAACGTAACTAAGAACAAATGACGTACTGTACAGGGTATAAAAATAATGGTTTATTAAACTTTAAATGAATCAATTCGCCGCATTAAATATATAATGAATTAATTTTGTGATTGTTGTTTTTTTTTTATAGAACCTTCTTTTAACTAATTATAATGCCATGTGGACGAACGACGGTCGGTAGATGGTCGGGGGTCCGGGATCGATTCCCGATCCCTGTATAAACTAGAAACGAGAGGATCTCTATAACCACGCGCTTCTTTCTGCCTCTAATAAATGAAATCGAATAAAAAAATTACCAAGTGGCCAATAGCCGATAAGAAATGGCCGACTTTTTTTTACAAGGTTAAAGTATTTTCAAACTTTACGCTTCATAAAAGTGGATAAATACGGGCAAAATATTCGAGGAAGAATAGAATTTATATAATGAGGTTAAATATCCTAAATTCGTATATATTTTTTTTCTAAAATTAGGGGATTATCCCGCCGATACCTAACATAGCGCTCGAAAGATATAAACTAAATGTGAGGAAACGAGAGTAAGTAGATCTTTCTGTTTGTACTGTACGTAGGCCTACGTTTGTACGCTTTGATATACGCGTGCCTTGGTTTCGGGAATACAGAGACATCCCCTCACTATCAAACACAAACGAGGAAGGAGCATCCACGTGGATGATCCTAGGGAAGTTTCATTCTGGAGCAAAGATCGTCTGTAAAATTTTATAATAATTATTTAATTATTAAGAATAAAAATAAATCAATAAAATATTGAAATATTTTCTACCAATTTTATATATTTAAATAAATTTTGTACGATCTCTATGGTTATTTGGATTTGAAAGGATTCGTTAACTCGATCGTATCATCGACATCATCGACTTATCCATTATTATTATTATTATATTTTTTTTCCAGTTTCGATAAATAAAATTGAAATAAAATGACGTCGATATTTTTTATTATTATGAATTAGTTTAAGCTCGAGATATAAAACTATCAACGTTTACGTGACGTAAAATAAGTAGGCTATATTAAGTGTTAGGCCTAAATATTACAATGGGTCCGACCGCTTAGTGTTATAACGTGTTATCTATTTGATTTTACAGTAAAAAATTTTAAAAACTGACGTCAGATTTGCGTAAAAATGTGCTCTATTTCAACCAATCGAGAGGGTATATTGTTGCGTTCGTACAAATTATATGGAAAGTGTCGGCGTTAACAATGTATGTAGCGACAATGCAGTGCGATAACAATACCATAACGACAATTGGTTCTAACTAGCAACATTTATAGGTAAGTAAATTGTATTTTATGGTCCGTTTGGAGTTTCGAATTAAGAATTTTTAATTGGCCTGTGTGGGAACTAATAGGATCTTTCTTTACGGTGGCAAAAATTGGGTACGGAGTCGAAAATACCGGTTAATCGAGTAGAAAATCGTCACTTAACACCCGTAAATGTGCCCTTTACGAAGAGTTACGTTGTATCACTCCGTACACGTCACACAGAGAGGGGGTTGAGGATTATACAAGTTTACCACGTTTAAGAACGCGAAATTATGGGCGAATCATAATGGTAGACGTAATTAGAAACCGGGCCTAACTTAAATTTACGTTTGCACGACAATGCCAAAAGTGATTCGAGTGTAATTAGTGATACAATTACCAACGATGACACTGGGTTTAACGTTGTAGGAAACGAGATGCAACGTTTTTTTGGAGTCAATTTTGGACGAGAGGGAACCAATTTTTCAAATCGGTCGAAGTATAGGGAGATTTTAGGGTTTTAGGGGAAGAATAATAAGTTCTGACGGGGTCTAAAGTCGCGGAAAGTCGGGCGGTCGACAAATGAATCGAACAATTGTAAGGCGACAATGGAGAGGCAATTAAAAGGCGCGTGGAGAACAATCGAAAGTGCAGTCATTTGTATCACGTCAGAAGCAGGCGTCGGACGAGGAAATAAATATCCACATTGTTATGTACACGGATATTTTTTTTTTTATTTAAAATTCGTCATACGAACAATAATGGATACATACGGAGCATCGCGCGATCTGTACAAAACGTCGCTCCCTTCCAACGAGCCTTCTACCGCTCTGTACACTGCGAGGTAGACGACCCACGTCAGGCTGTAGGCGAGAAAACAGAAAACAAATTAATGAGCGAAATTGTCACTCCGTACGAAGGGGGGGAGGGTAAGGAGAAGGAAAGGACCTACCTCGTGCGCCGAGTCCGAGTGGTGCGGGGGGAAGGTGCTGGAGTCCTGCACCGGAACACGGCCGTAGACGGATTAGTAAGACGTAGAATGCAGGTGGTGGGGGTGGGTCAGGGGGGAATTGTCGGGCGGTGTGGGCATGCCGACGGACGGCTGACAGACGTACCATTCGGCCAGGTTGGCCGGGTGTCCCCCCTCCGAGACCACGTGACCGGGCAACACCGTACCCGCGGGCTGGCTGTCGCTGTCGTAGCCGGATCCGCTCCCCCCGGAACCCGGCGTGGCACCCGGGGGTGGAGAAGACTTTCCGTGAACCTTCATGTGTTTCCTCAGAGAACTGGGGTGGGTGTAGCTCTTGTCGCAACCGCGGATCTTACAGTTGTAAGGTTTGTCGCTGGTGTGCACGTGCGAGTGCTTCTTCCTGTCCGAGCTGTTGGCGAACCTTCTGTCGCAACCTTCGTATTCACATTTGAAGGGTTTTTCACCTGCAACGGGAAAACGTCACACGTCTTAAAACACCGCGCAATTTTAAGGTCTCTAGAAAAATATGGTTTCCGCTGGACGCGATCGGAGGAGCGGAAAATATCCAATCTGCAGCGATTCTTATCGCGAAAAAATCGATGCCGGCGAGGGTGGGAGGGGCGGAGAATCGGTTACTCGCACGTATAATCGAGTGGCGACGAAAACGTCCGCGCCACACTCCATTAATGGCGGCACGCTCCGTCGGATCGCCTATTGTTTGCCTTCCCCGCAATCGCGGCCACTCGTCGACCCCCCCGACAAGTATTTAAGAAGAATTTCGTCATTTTTTTTGTTGTTACGTCGACCGTTTGACGGACGGCCTGGTACGGACAGACAGATTAACCGACCGATTGGCGATGGAGACGTTGCCCAACGGGCTAATATGACTGTGTAAAATTCTCGTTTGTCGACTGCGAGGAGTAAGTAGTTGCCATCTGCCTTAATTTTACATTAGTCGTCCCGTGTTTATTCTAAGAAACCGAACGTTTCTTCTGTGTACTTACACCGGACATTTGTCTATTTCGATCGGAACATACGAAAATATCTTTCTTATTGTTTACGGGAGGACGTTAACAATGCCTAAGATGGAAAATAGCACCCCGCACTCCAGTGTAAAACGTGTGATTTGGCGCAAGATGATAGAGACACGAGGCCTAAAAACACGTAAAAGGCCTAACACGGGACTCGGTCCTTTCTGCCTAGGAGTGCAGCGTACACTCGTTTAACCCTTAAATAACGTTAAACGTAACTGTTACGCAGTAACAATAAGGCATATTAAGCAGAATTTCTCACTCTCAATTGGATTCCATCCGTTTCCTTGGTGTTTTTTTATGGAGAAGTCTTCCAAACGGGTGATGCAGACACCAGCTATAACACCAGAAATACTTACGTAATTACCAAAAATTTCCTTAAGTATTGCGTAATTTGGCTAATTCTTGAGTAATTTAATGAATTTTGGAGGCGAATTTAACTCAAATTATCCAAAAAATAGCCAAAAACCAAGCGAAAGAAATGATCGACTTGGCACAAAAATGGCCGAAAGCCGTAAACGATGCTAATTAAATTCGTTGCCAAGACACAAAATGAAGAGCGTGAGGAGCAAATTTACATATTTTTGAATCTATATACGCTATTAATTTTGATTTAGTGTCGAGTGACTGGATCACACTACCCACACACACTCTGCACTCGTGTTTTCAGAATAGGCGAACAGAGCCTTTACAGATTGCAGTTTAATGCATCGAGATACGAACCCCCGACACTCCCGACAATTTCGGTGACATTCGATGCCCTCCAACACTAAATGGAGGTGACGAGAAAGGTAAAGGGCCTTCCGTGGTGTTCAGAGAAAACATCTAAGGTAGTCTGCACGAGATACCATTTTTGGAGGTGGATTTTTTTGTATACGTAATCCCGGGCTCGCTGGAGCGTGACACGTAATTAATTATATAAAATAATATTCAAATATACAGAGAGGGATGATATAAATTTGCAATTCTCGGAGTAAACGACCTCCTTCTTCCACCCGGATAACATTTTAATGAGCTTTTCATCGGCGCAGGAATTCTAAATAAGGGACAAACCGCTGAGCTTCACATTCCTGCACCCTAAAATCCCAGACTGAGTCTTTCTGTAACAGGATGTGGTGCCCGACGCTCTCTAGGCCAAAATTTGCTGGGGGGGATGGAGTTACAGTAGGCCTAAACGGGACGGTGGACTTCTTACTACACTAGGAAGATGCCACAGACACTAGAGAGGACCTATACGGGTCCGTTTCTGTCAGGGGACGAAGGATTTTAGCGTTTTTTTTTTTTTTTTAAGGATTAAAAACGCCTGCACCTACCTGTGTGGGTCCTCTTGTGTATTTTGAGATTTTCGCTCCTGGCAAACACCTTGCCGCAGCCGGGGAAAGGACAGGGGAAGGGTTTCTCCCCCGTGTGAACCCGGATGTGATTGACCAGTTTGTACTTGGCCTTAAAGGGTCTTCCGTTGCGACAACAATCCTGCCAATAGCAGGCGTGATTGGTGCACTCGGGTCCTCCGACGTGTTCCACGCCGATGTGCGTGACGATCTCGTGCATGGAGGTGAAAGTCTTGTTGCACGGCTTCCTGGGCGTCATCTGGTCCTGTTCCACCCACAGACAGGTGAGCTCTTGTTTGACCGGGGGCCTGACGTAACGGAAGAAGGCCCCCGGTCCTCCGCCGTACGAGGTGGGTGTGGGCATCTGGTTGAAGGGTTCCGGTCTTCCGTACACGTCCGCGGGAGGGATGGACAGCCTGACCTGGTGACCGGGAGGGTGGTGGTGATCCAGACCCGAAAATATGTCGGGAGCGTGTCCTCCGTGCACGAACATGCCGTGGGGGGCGGGAGGCTCGCGATGGAAGATGAAGTCCCTGGATGCGTAGGGGTGGTGATGCGACACTCCGTATCCGTTCTGACTAGAGAACTGGTGTCCTCCCGACGGATCCGTCATTCCGTGGGGTGGACTCAGTTTGATGTGGGTGTCCACGAACGGGTTCAACATGTCCGCCGACGGCTCCTGGACGTGGCCGCTCGGGTACCCGAAAGCGGGTAGTCCATTGACGGGTTGACTCGCCACGTCCACGAGGTACAGCGCCGGCGTGCGTTTCCCTACGCCGTGTTCCATAATCGCGCACTTAATGGCAGCTGCACGTAACCTGCCTCCTACAACTCGACTACTCTCCCGGCCGGCGACGCCCATTGGATCACCCCCTGCGCCGCTTCTCCCTCCTCCAATAGCGAGCCTTCTCGCGTCCCCGCCTCTCGGAGGGAGGCGCGCGAGACGCGCTGCCGCGGTGATTTGTAGACGTCCGCCGACGGGAATGCGTCCCGTTTGTTTAGAGTGCCACGGACGAACCCACAACGCCTCCCCTCCCTGGCCATTTACGCCTTCTCTCGTCCACCATATCGCCGCCGTCTTTACAAATTAACACAAGAATTCTTTTCCTTTCCCTCTCCCCCGACAACACTACAAACACCCCAGCTCCAATGGTCTAAGAAACCTTTCGGATTGACAACTCGCTTCCCGCTCCACCCATCGCCGAACACAAGGTTTAGGCCACCCTACGGTACCAATATTTCTCGTTTATTAACACTACAACTGGAAACTCCAGGCAAAACCTCCCCCCTTTTTCCATATATCGCGCCTGATTCTCGCTTAGGTAGTGAAGTGGAGGGATGAGGCTCGTAAGAATCAATTTATAACCCAGACTTAGAGAAGAGAACCAAGCTTAGAGATCCTCCAAACAGAAATATATCCCTAATCTTAAGTCTCCCAAGAAGTTTAGAAGGCTCCAAACTTCGTTTATTGACTAAAAAACACGGGGTTTCTAGAAAATAAACGTTATTTCGTTGGTTTTCCGGATCCGAACTTAGGCCAAAATCCAAGTCATTATCTCCGATCCGCTCTTAATTGTTAAATTAGAACAAGAAATTTAAAGTAATTGTACGAACACTGGCATTTAGAATTGTAGTTTCTATCCTCTAGTATTTACGGAGTGACCTCCCGTGTTTTTGTATTGTTTTAATTACGGCGTGTACGAGTTACAATTAGTAGTGTGTTTGCCTCCCTTTATCGAGTCACGTCCGACGATTCCTGTTGATCCTTTTAATTAAAAATAGCTTTTATCCGGGGATCCTAGAGCGAAGTGGACGATCCACCCAACGAATTTAATTAAACTCCGTACCTATATATTAAAATTTCATAAAATAATATAGAGATGAACGGGCCCTTCTTTCCCTCCTCTTCCTTTACGTCTACTGTCTAGGCCTATACACGTACCGTCAAATATTCTCTTGTCTAACATTCGATTCTTATTCCTCCGTAACTCTTGTTTACTGCCACGCCATTTTGTCCTCTTGTCAATTAAATTTCCACACAAGAGACTATACCGTTCTCGTGTTAATTAGTATATTGTATGTGGTAGTATATTGGACAGAAGAGATGCAAAAACACGAGGCCTCAAAATCTCTACCAGCAACAACTAAGAGGGACGTAAAATGCCAAGAAGAAAGACGGATAATATGGCCATATTTTTCCACTTTTTCACTGTATTTTTTCGTGTTTGGATCACACACAAAATGCATCCATCTTCTCGGATCTTCCTCCTAAAACGAGTATTATGGGATTTATAAAGTGAGGATCGGGTTGAGAACGGCGTCACGTTTTCCAATTCGCAAAATTAGAGGAGGAGGAGGAGGAGGAGGAGGAGCCGATCAAAGAGCATCCGTTCAAGGAAAGAAAGAAAAAAAAATCCAGGAACAAAGGAGCTGGTTGACGTGGGAGGGGGAAACGGAAATTGCACGAGCTTCTATTGTCCTCCAGACAGACTAATACATTTTGTATCAGGCAGAGAACTAGCAATATTTCGGGTATAAGCGTCGATATTGTGCAGAATACGGTTCGATCTCGACGGGGGGTGAGACGAAGTTGTCAAACCTTCCTCTTTTTTTTTTTTCCTCCTCTCTACTTCTATTGACGGGGAACGAGTCGACGCTCCTTTTTTACAGTCGTTCTCGGTCCATTCGACAGACTTTCTTTCATCACGTCCTATCAATAAACGGATGCGGAGAAGGAGTTGGCTCGGAAAAGTGCGAGAGCATTAATAACACCGATCACGCTCCTCTTTTCTTACTTTCCATCCCTCCCCCCGTTTACTTCTGTGTAGCCGTCTACACTTACTAATTAAAAACACCGTATTTGTTGCCGGTGCGAAGTAGTTAGGATCATCCCCGTCTGCTTAAGTAAAAGAGCGAATTTCATTCGTTATAACAGAACACCTCGCCCGTAACAATACAAAAAAAAAAAAACACTACGGTAGTAAGGGGGATTGCAAGCGCAGTTAGGCCAAAAATTCGGATAATCGAGTTTTGTAATTTTAGATTGGTTTTTGCTGCGATTTTCCCTTGTTATTTACAAATAAACGGTGGGGAGGAGCGGAAGGAAAGGGGGGGGGAGTTAATCAAATATGCAGATGAAGAGAAATTGGCGTTTGCGCGTGCGGTGGGGAGGATTTACGATAGTGATAAAGTCATTTGATATATTTAACGTTTGGGGAACAATTTCTGGCCATAAAAGGGGATTTATTTAAAGCGAGCGCGCGCAGAATTTATCTGCCGGGAGGGTTATAAACAAGGAAGGTTCCCACAGGTCGACCGGGATGCAAACCGAGATAGGAATGTGGAGCGGAAATGAAAAACGAACATTTTCTGACGAATTAATTGATGTCGGCGGGGGTCGCGCGTAAAATAATACCCAACGAGATTAGTAGAAATTAGTAAAAATTAAGGTTGCTGCTATCAGTTAATTATTTGCAACGGAATGGGTCGAATTCCCCCCCGGGTGGAGGAGGATACCCAGAGAGAAGTTGATTACATTCGACATCCATCCACGTTCTGATTGGCGCTTTCGTTTCGTCCTCCGATTGTTCATTAAGGAGTGGACGTCGGTTGCGATCCGCGGGTGGCACCACGTCGACGTCGTCGTCGGGCCGGGGGGGGACCCTTCTTCCCACCCAAATATGTATCCTTCCGTGGCCGACCCGCACCTTCTCCACCCTTCTACGGTTCCTCTAGAGGGATGGCCGAAAAACTAACCGGCGCGTGGGGGGAGAGGTCGGGGGTTGACGATTAATTAGAAACTACGCGCGCGCGCCCGCTCCGCGGCGCGAGGTAGATAGAGTAGAGAAGAAGAGAAAACGAGACCTACCTGGCGGTATTCTCCGTCGCAATGTCACTGCCAATGTCTGTCGCTCAGGTTTTATATGGTGAGGCTGCTGGAGACGGAACTGGCAGCTTAGGAAAGCCCCTGCAGCGGACTGGAGTCGTGACTGATGGTAGCTCGTCGGGATGGGATTTCGGGCTCCGTAGGTGTTCGTTGCCAATCTAAGTTCGCCTGCCCCCTCGTTGGCGGGATGTTGCGCCTCTATACGCGCTCGAGCTCTTTTGTTTTGTCTAACTAACACGCGCTTACTTCTTCCTCTTCTCGGGCCTGGTGTGAATTTTTTTGGGGGGTCTCGAATCGCATAAACCAACCTCGTCTGGAATGAAATTTGGATTATAAATCGCGTTTTTTTTGGGGGGTGCCAGTGTGTGTCTGTACCTTCCTTTCATCCATATGTATGAGCGGTAACACGACTACTCCAGGCTATTTTTCGGGGACACCCCGGTGTTTGGGCAGATACCGTTTTCTCCGGATGATACTTCGGTTGCGAAGTCTCTCTCCCCTGTCGGAGGTTCTTTACGGTGGGTTTACCCCTTACCGCTTGTATATAGACCTACTTATCCTTTGATACTGCCAGATAAGGTTCGTTAAAAGCGTGTAACATAATATATATACGATATACCGGGGGCATTCTTAAGAAGTTCGTTAACACAATAGCTCTACCCGACCTTAAACCCCGTATTGTCCGTTCGAGTGGTGGTTTTAGTGTTTAACTTACAACGTCCCTTAACGTCGACCCTCCTCCTACGCTTTTCTAAACATCTGTGGCACGCTTCGAGCATTATTACGGAGTGGACCTATCCACTCCAACCTCGTTTAAGCGGTTTACATACACAATACCCTAAGCATCGTCGTTTGAGTGTTTATTCCTCCTCTCGTGCCGGATGCGCGTGGCTTCCGACCGGCAAACAAGCTACTTATTTTTAACAGCCTTGTAAGATTAGCCACCCCCCTAGCAGATGGCACCGCGGAAATTCCCTCGCGAGCCACCGTTCGACGAGATTTTCTTAACGTAACCGAGCCGTCCGGTGTTACGTCTTAGCGTTACGTAACGCTTAATGCTTCCTTCTAGTTAGCTCCTCCGCGGGATTGGGGTGCGCGACGAGAAGTCGCCCCGCAGGAACCTTTATACTAAACTTTCCCATTAAGAAGACATTGTCTACGCATTACGAACGCGTCGCGCTCGGTTAAGCTCGCCCACCCCCGTCGCGACTCTCGGAGTGTGGCACTAATTCGAAACGTGCCCAAATCCCAAGGACAGGATTAACACAAGGTGACAGACGGCCTCACGTCTTCTTCTTCGAGCATATTAATGGCACAAGACTAGATTTTTTCCCGGTTGCGGTAATGGAAGGGGGTGGAGAAATAGGGTACTCGATGTCAGATGGTCGAAGACTGATCTAGCATCAGCAGCCGCTTGTAAGGACAGAAAAAAAAAAGGAGGCAGCAGAGAACATTAAAGTCGGTGGGGAAGTCAGTCTATCTAGTGTCAGCGCTATAAGGCGATGGAGAAGACAGCGGGAAGTCGGACACCACAGCGTCCTGTCCAGCCACTAATGTGTTAAGACCCCGGCAGCAAGCAGAGACGGAAAGACTTTGCTTGGCGGGCGGCAACCAACCACTAATGCAATAGAATGGACCGTGTTGATTGATACGATGCCGGGCAAAGGTAGGAGGGATGCAGAGAACACACTTTAATGAAATTAATCCTTTAATCGCCATAAGTTACAACAGATGGTCGTTTCTAACCTTATTACAATATTCCGCTTTAATTCTGATTGCCCTTCCCTCCTCAACGTTCGGCAAAGGGTGCCATTCTTCGGATCGTTCGGCCGTTCGGTTCGAAACCAACCGAAAATCACGGGCAAAAGGGGCACTCTGTCTGACCCTCTTGCTATTTGGGGCCCTTTGCCCGAATAGGAAGAGGGGAAGTGGGCCCGCGCGAAAAGAAGAGGATCCCTTTGTCCGAATAGGAAGAGGAGCCGTGGGCCCCGCGGAGAGGAAGAGGCTCCCTGACTGGAATAGGAAGAAGGGCCCCCTCTTCCTGTTGAAGCCAGGGAACGGGAAGAGTCGGGGCGGTTGGCCCGGTAGGGATAATTAAGAAAGGTGACGCAGCTTCCTTTGATGGATGGCTTCAATATGGAGGAGTTCATAAAGAAAGTTTTAATCAAATCGCTTTCAATTAGTTATTTGCGGTGACGTTTC